TTGGGACTATAAGCACACTCTAGCTATCTATCATAAACATGTTTGATAATTTTGTTTTCTTTTGATATTTGTTCTTGTTATCTTGTAACTGAATTCCCATTAGATTCCGTGCAAATAAAAATAACATATTTATAAAAAATAAAAATAAAATATTACACATTTTTTTTTTTTTTTTTACATTTTCACTTACTCTGTAAAAAGTGCAGAGATTGACTATTGGACAAAATCAATAACAATACAATTTTCCGTGTTACTATATACCTTTTATTTTCTTTATCTAAATGCATTTTATATATCCTTACCTTGCCTTGCAATGAATAACCACCTTACTATTAAGTACTGGAATACCCACAACTCAATAAAAAGTTGATTCACATGTGTGTGAACATAAAAATGATCCTACTGTAATCATTGGATAAGTGACCTCAACATAAACCATTTTTTACCTATTTTATATTCTCAATATAATGTTACTTAGGTCTATTTAAAAAAAAATATAATATAAACATAAAAATATAAATATAAAAAATAACAAAATAACATGACTTTCTGAGTTTGTTTGTTAAACTCAGCTGTTACCAAAGGAAAGATAATTAAAAAAGTAAGTAACATGTTTTTTCATTAAAATGTTTAATATTTTTGACTAACAATGCGAATAAATTTAACTTTTTATTTTTAAGACAAAGAATCTTTTTGATATGAGATGATTCAATTTTAAACTAACTAAGGACATGCATGCATGGCTTAGGGGGTTGGTTAGATTTATATTTACTTCTATATTAACCAATTGAAGACCTTTAAACATACATGCATGACATCCCTACTTAGTTGGGTAAGTTGATAGGCCAGAAACTACACAGACATTCCATTTTTCCCAGTTGGATCCCATTTTTCTGTAGAAATCCATGTAGTTTTGGCTTCAACAAAACGTCGTCTGCATGAAATATCAATTTATTGGTTATCACCTTATCATGTATTGAAAAATGTCACACGATTCTACTTTTTCAACCTCCACTTTGAAACAGAAACTATCCCAGAACTCACTTATTAACACTCCAAGAAACCTGATAAAATTACTGATGTATTGGTGTGAAATGTGACCTCAAATCACAAAGTTCTTATTTTTATTTTAAAAAGGATTGTCCTAACAAATCTCATTTTTGTATAATTGGAACTGGCCAGTCAGAGTCAAGAATTGTCCATGGAAGTCAGCTTTTCATTCATGAGAAGAAAATGAGGACTTTTATAAAGGACTTTCTATAAGTTTTTGCTATCAAATATGATTCAGAACGACCAAACAGTTTCAGATAGACCAAGTTGTGATTTTCTGTAGACAGGGGCTGAACAAGGAATTTTTTTAAAGAGGGAGCCATAATTTCATAAAATTGAATATTTAATGCAGATCAGAGAAAGGCAAACTGATATTTTTTCCAATCGACGGCTCTATGCCCCTTGCATCCTCCACTGATAGAATTCGATGTAGACCCTATATTGGGTCATTTCTGAGTCAGAGTACATATTATATGTCATCATAAGCTAACAAGAGTGCACACGCTGAAATGTCTCGCCTTCTTTACTAACCATTGATTTTATGTTGATAGTCCTAAATATAAAGCTTTACTACAAGTATCACATAAACTTAACATGATCCCAAAAAATGAGGCCAAGGTTAGATAAACCAAACAAGAAACACATGTACACCTTATAATCATTCAATACACCAAATATAGTTGACATATTGCTTATAGTTTCTAAGAAATAGACTCAACCATGAAAACTAAACATTGATCAATGAACCATGAAAATGAGGTCTAGGTCAGATGATACCTTCCAGATGGACATATACACCTTGCAATCATTCCATACAAGAAATATAGTTGACCTATTGCTTATAGTTTAAGAAAAACAGACCAAATCACAAAAACTTAACTATGAGCAATGAACCGTGAAAATGAGGTCAAGGTCAAATAAAACCTGCGAGACTTGACATGTACATCATAAAATATTTCCTTACACCAAATATAGTTGACCTATTGCATATAGTATTAGAAAAACAGACCAAAACACAAAAACTTAACTATAACCACTGAACCATGAAAATGAGGTCAAGGTCAGATGACACCTGCCAGTTGGACATGTACACCTTACAATCATTCCATACACCAAATATAGTTGACCTATTGCTTATAGTATTAGAAAAACAGACCAAAACACAAAAACTTAACATTGACCAATGAACCATGAAAATAGGTCAAGGACAAATGACACCTGCCAGACAGACATGTACACCTTACAATCATTCCATACACCAAATATAGTTGACCAATGGCTTATAGTATTAGAAAAACAGACCAAAACACAAAAACTTAACATTGACCAATGAACCGTGAAAATGAGGTCAAGGTCAGATGAAACCTGCCAGACTGACATGTATCCCTTATAATCATTCCATACACCACATATAGCTGACCTACTGCTTGTAGTATCTGAGAAACGGACCTAATCACGTAACTTTAACCTTGATCACTGATCCATGAAATGAGGCTGAGGTCAGGTGAACCCTGTCTGATGGACATGTAGACGTTGCAAGGAACCCATATACCAAATATAGTTATCCTATTACTCATAATAAGTGAGAAATTTACATAACAAAAAAACTAAACTTTTTTTTCAAGCAGTCGCTGAACCATGAAAATAAGGTCAAGGACATTGGACATATGACAGACGGAAAGTTCGTAACATAAGGTATCTGCATACAAAGTATGAAGCATCCAGGTCTTCTACCTTCTGAAATATAAAGCTTTATACAAATAGTTTACGCCGCCATCGTCGCCGCCGCCACCGGATAGTAATACCTATGTCTCACTTTCAGGCGAGACAAAAACTGTGTATTGATATAATTCAACTGTTGTGTCAATTCAATTTCATTGAATGATTTTTTTTATAAAAGTACTGCTGAAATTCAAAGATTAAATTTTCATGGATTTTAAAGGTTGTTAAAAACATTTTGTGAACCAACTTCCTTTTTTCTAAAGTATCAAATTCTTTACAAATAGGAAAGTGAAATCATTTTTGATAAATACTTCTCAGGAGATAGTATGAAATAAAGAAGATATACATGTAGTATGATTGCCAATGAGGTGACTATCTACCAGAAACCAAAGATGCAGAAGTTAGCAAAAATATGGTCACTGTAGGGCCATGAGTATCTATCTGATCACATCTATACTATTAAATGAGAAGACCTGATTTTGTGTGTCGCTTCTCTTCCTTCCACACTAAATCAATCATCATGCTTTTATGTCCTATAGGTAACATGTATAGTTCCATCTGTCATCCTCGCTTATAAATATTTCATTTGGGTTTTTTTGGGAGAAAAACGAAAAAAAAGACGTCCGGATATTGTTTCCGTCCTCAGACTGACTTTTAAGTTATAGATAAGACTTCCGTTTAGGACTTAAAATTGCACATTATTTTCATAGGTACAAGGGGACAGGACAATTATTTTCGCGTTTTTCTGTATACTATGAACAAACATACATGTATACTATATAAATACAGTGTATTTGCTATTTGCTAGCAATTCCAAGTTTAATTCCATGGATTGATAATAAATACCAAATAAACTGTACTTATATAGTATATGTTATTATGTATGTTTAATGTGAACAGAAAAAATGCTAATATAATTGAAATTAACAGAAAACAACAAAAAAATAAAGGACTTTGGAAAAGGGGGAGGGCTAAAAAAATTGTATTGTCCCCAAGTACCTTTGACTTTTGATAACTTTGCTGAAATACTCCAGTCATAAAATCTTTTACAAAAATTCATCCTACAACAGTTTACATACCATCAACAACGCTCTAAATGCCCGTGATTTCGCAGGTGTGTTCTAGTTAAACATAAAGTTAACACAGGTGGACTAAATGTTGAAGGTCGTACTTTGACCTTTAATTGTTAACTTTATATACATTGTGACTTGGATGGAGAGTTGTCTCATTGGCACTCATACTACATCTTCTTATTTATATAATTAATGTAAACTGTATGCCCTGATACACGAATTCAGATTACACAGGTTTTACAATTAACACAGGGTTTAGTTTAGACAGGTTTAACTGTAGATGAATACTATTTCCCATGATGCTTTGGGGGTTTGGTTGATATGGGTTTCCCTGTATAATTAAACATGTTACTTAATTACCATTTCAGCTTAATTTTTTTGTGTTTAAATCATTCAAATTTTTATTTTACAAAATATCAAGATTGACTTTATACAAAATGTGTTGCAATGAGGTTGGTTAAGGGTTTTTTCTTAGTAAAATAATTTTCACTTGCTTATATGGTACTTGGCCATCATTCACCCTTTTCAGGCAAATAGATAAAAGTATGTATCTTTCGTACCTAGATTTTTTTTTATTTCAAACAATATCCCCTTTTTCACATTCTTCTATGCATATACTACCCTTTTATAACCCTCTACAATCAATGCAATCTACATGTACATCAGAAAAAACCCATGTAAATCAGTTACATTGAATAGTTCAGTAGAAATAAACAAGGTTTTTCCCCCAATAATTCCTATGTAACTAAAAGATCAAATTTATGTAAGGGAATATTTCACAAAATAATATCAAAAGGAAAATAAGCGCAAATCAAACCCTCTCAAAAATTTTTCCTCTTTATAGAGTGTGCCCATGTCATGAGGTTTTCTTTGCTTCAAACATCAAGGTTTTTTTTTTTAAATACACACGGTCAATTGTGGTCTGGATTCAGAGTTCTCAAAATCTTTTTTTCCCTGGTTGTCCTTGAAAAAAATCTGCTGGTCCTCACTATAATTTCTATAGCAAAATACCAAAATTGTGTTGGTCCTTTGCCAAATTTTGCTGGTCAAAACCTTTGGACAAACACTTTTCAAGAACTCTGCTGGATACCTAAACATTAGTTGATAACTAAACAACAAGGGCATACCAAACAGTTACCATGACAACAAACTTACAGCAGGTGCAGAGGTAGTACAGTTATTGTCGTCTGCTAACAGAAACTGAAGTAATTCTCCATTTTGGAGGCCTTTGTCTTTAACTTTTTCTTTTTTATCTTTGTCTTCTCCAGGGTCACTTAATAACTGCTACAATGATAATATAAGGCATATATATATATACATGACCACTGCTTAGTATTTCAGAACGCCAAAATAAGTAAAGGAGGGAGTTTTCAGATTTTTCCTGGAAAAGCAAATTTGGGAAAAAATCGAAATGACACATTATTACTTCTATATCATAAATTTCATTTCTAAGCCATGAATTTTCAGTCTAATAAAGAAAAAAAATAATTTAGATTTTTTCATAAAAAAAAAATTTCATTTAAAAATTTAGTGATAATTTGTCTGAAAATAAACATAAACAATGTTTTTTGGGAGATAAATAAAGTCTGTTTTTATTTTTGAAAGTAATGACAAAATATGCACTTTCTGGACACATATTTTGAATGAAAACATCAGAGTGATAATTTGTCTAAAAATAAACATAATGTGAAGTCATCCCTGCATGCCAAGATAAACTCTCTGTGTGAGAAAGTTTCTTAGGAGATATGCCTACCGTCTGTTATTATTTTTTAAAAATTAATGAGAGAATGTGCAGTCATCTCTTCCTGCCAAGATAAACTCTCTGTGTGACAATGATCCTAGGGAGATACATGTATGGTCTGCTAACAATTTTGAACTTAATGACAAAATCAGCATCTTCTCTTCAAAGGAGTAAGGACAGGGCATTAAGTTCTAGGGTACAAACTGAGACAGTATAGCAGAATTTTGTGGATTTTTCGAAAAATTGCGTTTTCATGGATACCGTTACCTTATTTTATGGTTTTAACAAATTATGCATAAAACCCTAAGAAATATATATAATTTGTTGAACATTTAATTTTGTGGTTAACCACATTAACCATGTTGTCAAGAAATCCCTGAATATAAGTATCCCGGACATAATTATTGATGCACCGTAACTGTTTTTATTCAGAGGAATGTTTTGACACTCAAAGTTACGGAATTGATGTTAAAAGTCATCGATCAATCCATCATTCTTTCACTTTTAACTTTTATTCTTCACCTACTTTAAAATGCCCTTATCCATGTCTGGATTATAATGTATTGGAGTTTAACGTCTGGTGGCATTTACTACATGTGTATCAGTATAAGAACATATACACTGCTTTGTACTAGACTGATTTTTTTAAGAGCTAGTTCAAAAGGAAACAATCTGCAGAAATACATGTTGCCCTGCCCAGACCCATTATTCAGAATTCTATCGACCAGTCTATGCTCTTACTCCTAAATTCTGCATGCTTAGGTGATAGGCAGCATATTACAAGTTTTGAAGTCTGAAGTTTGACTCAGGCGACACTGAGGTGGTACCCTGACTAGACAGGTCTGTTATATTTATCTGCAATCAACCTTTTTACTATACAAATACAGGTGTACAGATAACAGGGTGTGTCATACCTACAGTATACATATACAGACTCAGGTATCCTGCTTGTGTTGCATCCCGAACAGTTCCATTCTAATAACTGTTAATGTCACAGGTCAATTTAGGATCTTCTTCATGGTCCTCATTTAAGTCATGTCAATTGAATTCAAAAACAAATTAAACAGTTGAGAAGTAAAAAAACAATACTTTTAAGCATGAAATTTTAAATTGCCGGATAAAAAAAAAATAGTAGGGAAATATAAAATTTATTTATACTTGCTTCAAGAAGAAAATTGCAGCTCGTCAAGCTTTTCTCCTGTTTCTAAAGCTCGTGCAAATAGACTTTATAATCTCCTATAATGCTGGAATATTGTACATAAAAACCTTCTAAAAGCATAAGATTGCAAGATTTGGGAAAAGTTCAGAAACCAAAATCTGTCTGAATGTGTAGGAAATGTTAACTTATCCAAGAGACGTTTAGCAAGCAACAAGCAATAATCAAACAGCCAAAGGAAAGGTTTCCTGAGAAGGCTTGCCCGAGTCAGAAATGATAGGACTTTCATAGGGTATGTCTGAACTGATTGTTACCAGTAAAACATAAATGAAGGTTTCCAAATTTTTACCCATGCTCATTTTTGAAATAGAAAATTATAAAAATGTAGCAAGAAAAGGAGCCAGTCTAATATCAAAATAAGATGATATGGTATGAATGCCAATGAGACACCTATCAACAAGAGTTCAAATTACATGGATATACTGTGAATTTTCGTAGGTACCAATTTTCATGGATTGAGGAAAACTTGCAATATCGTGGATAATTGATTTCGTGGTTTTACCAATGTCTGCATACAAACCTATAGAACATTTGAAATTCGTTGAACATTTAACATGTTTAAATTCTTAGTTCATCTGTACCCATGAAATCCATGACAACTGGTATCCAATGAACAATAAAATGCTTCGCTGGGCGCAGCTTAATACGACCACAGAGGTCGAACCCTGAACAGTTGGGGCAAGTATGGACACAACATTCAAGCTTGATACAGCTCTGAATTTGGATTGTGTTTAAATATTTGACACAGCATAGGTTTCTGACACAGAAAGAATGTGGTCTAAGAACTTGAATTTTTTTAATTTACCTATTATGGTCCAATGTCCGAAATCAAAATACATGGTTAGATTCATCATATGAAAGAACCCCATATATTCAATTTTTGTTGAAATCAAACAAAGATTAATTTTGGACCCCAACTTGGACAAACTTGAAAACTGGGCCCATAATCAAAAATCTAAACACATGTTTAGATTCAGCATATCAAAGAACCCCAAGAATTCAATTTTTGTTAAAATCAAACTAAGTTTAATTTTGGACCCCTTGGACCTTAATGTAGACCAATTTAAAAAACGGGACCCAAAATTAAAAATCTAAATACAGGATTAGATTTGGAATATCAAAGAACCCCAATAATTCAATTTTTGATGAAATCAAACCAAGTTTAATTTTGGCCCCTTTTGACCTCAATATGAACCAATTTGATATCAGGGCCCATAATCAAAAATCTATATACATGGTTGGATTCAGCATATCAAAGAACCCCATATATTCAATTTTTGTTAAAATCAAACTAAGTTTAATTTTGGACCCTTTGGACTTAAAGATTTAGCATATCAAAGAACCCCAATAATTCAATTTTTGATGAAATCAAACAAAGTTTAATTTTGGACCCTTTTGAACTCAATATGAACCAATTTGATAGCGGGGCCCACAAATAAAAAATCTAAATACATGGTTAGATTCAGCATATCAAAGAACCCCATATATTCAATTTTTGTTGAAATCGAACAAAGTTTAATTTTGGACCCCAATTTGGACCAACTTGATAACTGGGCCAAAACATCTAAAATCTAAATACATGTTTAGATTCAGCATATCAAAGAACCCCATATATTCAATTTTTGTTGAATCAAACAATGTTTAATTTTGGACCCCAACTTGGACCAACTTGAAAACTGGGCCCATAATCAAAAATCTAAACACATGTTTAGATTCAGCATATCAAAGAACTCCAAGAATCAAATTTTTGTTAAAATCAAACTAAGTTTAATTTTGGACCCTTTGGACCTCAATATGAACCAATTTGATTGCTGGGTCCACAAATAAAAGATCTAAATATATGGTTAGATTCAGCATATCAATGAACCCCATATATTCAATTTTTGTTAAAATCAAACAAAGTTTAATTTTGGACCCTTTGGACCTTAATGTAGACCAATTTGAAAACTGGACCCAAAATTAAAAATCTAACTACACGGTAAGTTTTGGCATAACAAATAAATAAATGTGGTCAAAGATTTTACAAATCTAATGTGCCATACTGTGCAATTAAAGAGTACTTCTTGAAATTTTTCAATATTTGAAATTTGAAAAAAAAATAATATTTGAAGAATAATTCTGTTAATTTCTGAAATCTGAAATGAGAAAAAATTGACCCCCCACAATTTCTTTTTACCTCCCCCCCCCCCCTTTTTCCCCCAAAAAATTCTTTCCCTCAAGATATGGTCATAATCTCAATTCAAGTTTCCAATGGAGTTTGCAACCATAATAACGTTGTATTTGGATTACCTCTCTTACACTGTTTTAAATTATCTTAATTGTTCATTAACCATTACTTTATACATAATTTAAAAGCAGTGTAAGGGAGATAATTTCAATGATGTATTTGATTTATCTCCCTTACACTGCTTTAAATTATGTTTTGTACTAAAGTATTTGTCCATTAACCAGGACAACCTTGTTTTTCCCCCTTTTTTGCCCCTAATTCCTAAATGGTTTGAGCCATAACCCCCCAAAGCAAATCCAAACCATCCCTTTGTGGTATGGAAACTTGTAGTATAATTTTAGAGAGATCCATACACCGTTCCACAGTTATTGTCTTGAAACTAGAAAATGCTTATTTTTGGCCCCTTTTTGGCCCCTAATTCCTTAACTGTTGGTACCATAACCCCAAAAATCAATCCCCACCTTCCTTTTGTGGTATTTAACCTTATGGTAAAATTTCATTGAGATCCATTCACTTAAACTAAAGTTAGAGTGCGAAAACTAATGTGTCTTCGGATGACGACGACGACGACGCCAACGTCATACCAATATACGACCACAAAAATTTGTTTGCGGTCGTATAAAAATGAATCCACAGTAAGCAATTATATTAATGTATAGCTTAGACAAGCACCTGCTTATAGCAACCATTTAATACTTTCAATTAATAAACACAAAGCTGTGTGTCAAATGGGGATCTAGATCTATCCAAAAAAAAAAAAAACATAGAAAGGTGCTAATAAACAAGATAAAGTCCCCAAAGATGAAATGTTTTCTGAGGCTATTTCTCAAAGACTTCACACTTTTTATACTCCCTGCAAGGGCAAAAAAGTCTTAAAAATGATAACAATTCATAAGGTGTTAAGTTGTTTGGCCTTTGGTCATATTAAAATGTAGGAAAAGACAGATCTCAAGTTCAAATTTTGCATCTGTCAGTATATATTTTTGTTTTATATGATGTTGTGTTTTCACTTAAAGTTTCGAAACTAAATTTAGATTGGTTTTGATATTTCCTGTAAAATTATGAAAATGAGAGAACATTTCATTCCCAAAATTTTTCTTTTTATCTCTAACAATTTCCCTGTTAAGTACCTGAGCAGGCATACTGAATGTTTAAAACCTAATACCAGTATGATATAAAAGATTGAGAAAATCTGAGTCTACACATATAGTCAAGTTGTCAAGTCTCGGACTGGGTTGTCTTACATTTCCGTATGGTCACATGTCTTCTTATCATGCTTATGGACTGTTACCTTGTGAGCTAGCAGGTTAATAATCGGACTCAGCGTGTGGGTCCAGTATAAAGCAGGGCTCATATTTATATCACAATTATATGGTCACAAGTCTTGTTATCATGCTTATGGACTGTTACCTTGTGAGCTAGCAGGTTAATAATCGGACTCAGCGTGTGGGTCCAGTACAAAGCAGGGCTCATATTTATATCACAATTATATGGTCACAAGTCTTGTTATCATGCTTATAGACTGTTACCTTGTGAGCTAGCAGGTTAATAATCGGACTCAGCGTGTGGGTCCAGTACAAAGCAGGGCTCATATTTATATCACAATTATATGGTCACAAGTCTTGTTATCATGCTTATAGACTGTTACCTTGTGAGCTAGCAGGTTAATAATCGGACTCAGCGTGTGGGTCCAGTACAAAGCAGGGCTCATATTTATAACACAATTATATGTTCTCATCCTGATATGTTTGTACTATTTGCCACTGGAAGGATGTTAAACAGAAATTCATCATCATCTTAGATTTTTGAGTCTAATAAAATGAACATCAAATACATGACACCTAGGGGAGCATCAAATACAAAAAAAAGATGTCCAACTAAAGAGTTGATACAGAACTATGTCCATAGCAACAATCTCATAATACTGAGTGAGAAATAGAAAGTATAACAACTTCTTAGCAAGGAATCAGACTTGCTAGGAGCAAATCTGACTCCTTTTGTACTCTCGTAAATGGAGATATTATTACTCATACATGTTAAAAAAACATTCAGCTATTTGACCCTACTTCAAAGTAGAATGCATTAAAGGACAGATCCAAGTTCTTACCTTTAACAAGGCATTTGGTTTTTTGGCCTCTGCCTCATTCATATCAGTGTCACCTATTGATTTATCGTCCTTGTCATCTTCATAAGACTCATCTTGACTGAGCAATTGTTTTAATATGATATTTTTTTGCGTCTTTTTTCCGTCCCCCTTCCGCAACATATCAATATCATCGTGTGATGTTGTACTCTGTGGTTTTTCCGTTGGGCTTAGTGATCCTGGTCCCGGTTGTGGGGACTGGTGACTATCAAGGGGAGATAACACACTATTATTGTCTGTCCTGTCGGTATCATATAAACTATCTCTAGAATTAGTCCGAACCATCAGAGAACCACTAGATGAGCTGTGACTTAAAAGTTCACTTAATTTTCCACCGCCTCGTATAGTCCTTTTATCGACATTGGACTGAGTAGAATTTGAAAACAGAAATTCGGAACTACTCCGAGGTGAAGGTGACGGATTAGCACTAGTCCTACCCATCATGCCTCCTTGTTGCCCTGGTGACATCAGTGGTGGCAAGCTGTTTGGTGTTTGAAATTCCCGTTGTTGGTGTATATTTTGTTGTAGTCTGTTCCATCCAGCCTGTGTCATACTCACTAGAATGAAACAAACAAAGTTAAATCATTTATCATTCCTGCTAAAATCATAAATCTTGTTGTCCTAACACATTCATTTTTTTATTATTTTTTTTTCGCAATTCAAATACTATGGATTCATTTACTTTCTTTATCAGTTTTCTTGGATTGAGGAAAAATTGATATTTGATATTATGGTTTTGCCAGACTCTACCTACAAGTCTACAGAAAATTTGACTTTTTTGATCTTTCAAAGGTGGGTTACCTCTACCCATGAAAATTAGTATTCCAAAAATAATATGTGTAATGATTCTAGGTATGGAATGTTCCATTAATACATACATGGTACCCAGAGATGGCACTTTAAAAATAAGGTAACCCACACATTGGAGAAATTATAGAAACCTGCATACATTTTTAAATTCATGTTGCCTTTCCTGGGTCCCATGTATTTTTTTATGGAACAGCCCTATGAATATTTCAAGAATTTATTTTCTTTTTGACATATGATATAGAAAAGCAAATGGAGAGAATTTTGCAAACGTGATTTAACCCCACACATTTTGTGCATGTAGCAAGTCAGTCCATCTGGACCATATGCATTTGAATTTGTTTTTATGTGTATTTTTTCCGGAGGAGTTGGGTGTTTGTGTTTTACTGTCCAATATTTTTTATGATTCCAGTTATCCTTTGATGTATTATATCCTCGTATTTTAATATCAGACACATCAGCAACTTATTTCATAAAAAAAAAAATCTGACGAAAAAATACTGGAAAGTCAAGAACATTTCAGTATAACTTACGGTCAATTTTTGTCGTGATATTTTTTTTTCTGGATTTTGGATATTACAGAACTTTCAATAAGCTTAACATTTCTTTCAACATTTTTTACATATTTTCTCATGAACAATATGTAATTTAGCACCACATTTCGGCATCTAAAATATTACTTTATAAATTCAAATATCTACCTGGACTTGACATAGGTGGTGTCCGTTGTGGAGGATATCCCATACCTGGAGACATCCTATTAGACATCATGCCACCTACACTACTTCCAGGGCTACGTTGATTCGGATATCCCATCATACCCCTCTGACTTGGAACCTGAAATGGGGCACTTCTTGGTCCTGGACTAGGTGAAAATCGTGGACTTTTCTGACCACTATTACTACTTGAGTCAAATGACCCTCCTCGTTGAAATTTCAACATTTCCGGTCGAATGCTTTTACTCATCGCAAGCATCGTTCTTGTCAACAACTGTTGTTGCTGTTGTTGATGTTGTTGTTGTTGTTGAGCCAATTTCATTTGAGACATATCACTCCAAGAGTTAACACTATTACTGGATGAGTTTGAATTATTGAAATTCATATTCGAACTTCCTATTACAGCCTCAAAATCTGAAGGTAATAAATCCCAGTTTCCATGGTTACTGTTTGAATTCAACACATCCATTGAATGTAAGTCATTATTTAATCCCATGTTAGGGTTCATTGAACTCTGTGAGTATGCCAGTGTTTCTAATGCCGCCATTTGTGACGATATTCCAGACAAGTTTTGGTTGCTACGAGTTCCTGCAACTTGCGATTGTCCTATAATAGATTTCATAAGACTTGTCGAAGCTGAGCCTTTGAGTTCATTCTCTGAGTCACACTCACGAATAATGGAATGGGTGGACAAAATAAAATCTTGTTCACAATTGTCACTGCGGAAAATCTTACTCTTTGTCTGTACAAAGAAATATCTATTGTCCTGAAATTTGAACCTGTACACACTGCTTGTATTAGATCCAGTCTTCAACACTGAAATATTAATAAAATAATTAGTTCACAAAAATGTCAATTAAATTGTCAAGATTATTCAGTAAATTCAATAAGCATAAATAAAAATGTGGAAAATTAAAATTTCCAATATAAAAAAAAAATTATTATGTAACTCTAAATGAATAATTAACATCTTTCACGAATTTGAAAAAACATCTTCTGGAGATAGAACGGCAAGTGTTATAAAACAACCACAGAAGAAGCTTTAAATAACCAATCATCTCTGCAATTTTCCTGAAAAAATTATCACTTTATGCTAACATGAAAAAACATTTATAAATTTGTTCTATCCAAAGCAGTTTTGGGGATTTAGCTTCAGCTAACCCACTGTTCAATTTCCAACATATTCAACTGCCTTCTTACAAGGTATAAAATCATATTTACGATTTGTTCCCACTCAAAAGATATCTATGCTGAAGTTAACACCTTTCAATGTTGTGGAATCGACATATAATAAACAGGTTGCTAGGCAAAATGAAACAAACAACCAATCATATAACCAATCGCAATGGTTTGCTAGCAGTTGAATGTTTCATTATATATAAATGTGACTAGCGTCAGATTATAACATGCCTCCCAGGGGCTGGACAATATTTTCAAAAGTCAATTTTACATCGTAAGTCTCAGCAAAAATCAAAGTGTATAATTGTTGTTCAGCATTCACTATAATATTGTAACACTTCAGTAAATACATTTATTGACTTAAAATTTTGTACAGTTGGACATTTTTATGATAGAGGTTCTGGAGGGAGAGTCCTTCATTTTCTATATTCTTTAATTTTAGGCCATATTTCTCTATTTCTTTTTTCTGGTCCCCATTTTCTTATATTCTTTATATTATGCCCTCATTAATCTCTACTTTGTATATTTTGTCACAATTTTTCTCTATTCTTTATTTTTTGACCCATTCTTCTCTATCAAAATACAGAGAAAACTCCATGCGTAAATTATAAAACAAATTCATGGCTACATTGGAAAAATTATGAAATGAAATATTTATTAAACGAAAAATGTCTCTTAAAATTAACAGTATATGTGTCTATGAAATGCCTAGAACGTTTAAGATCTGTCATGTCCAAAGGGTTCATTGGTCAATAAACTTGTACATAGACCAGGAAAAACTGATAAAAGGTAAAATTACACAAGGCAATAATTCTGATATAACTGATTCTTTATTCACCAAGGAAATGGACAAGGGTATTTATCAACTAAGGCAAAATTTTTCACTTAAAGGCTTCAAAAAATATTTATCAGGGGTCTTAACATCCCCATGGAAAAACAAGCACTGAGAGTATTGCATGGCAATACATAGTCCCCTATCGGTTAAAAATTCATTGTATTGGAACAAGATGCAAACAACACTGATAACTTGCATGTATTTTCTAAGTCTAAGGACCATTACTTTGCAAAAGAAATCATCTGAAAGGATCAAAATTCGAACTTGATCTATAACTTGTCATGGTTAAACAATTTAACAAATATCACATCAATATCTTCAAGCATGACGAAAAAAGGTGTGGAAAACTCATTCCTTTCATGAATTTTCGAAGTCCAAGGACCATAACTCTGCACAAAAACATCCAACCAAAACAAAATTCAAACTTGATCTGTAACTGGTCATGATAAAACTATATAACAAATATCAAATCAATATCTTTAAGCACGAAGAAAAAAACTGTGGAAAACTGACTTGTCAGACTGACAGATGGACAGACAGACAGACAGACAGAGTGCAAACCTAAAGTCCCCTTGGAATTTGTCAGTAGGGGACTACTAAAAGAAGAATGTGTCCATGCGACACATGTCCCTGATTGGATTGTACATATACAGCAAATTCAGCAATTTTTCCATTTATAAAGGGACATAACTGGATACCTATGAAAGGGACAGCACCCAAGTACAAACTTGATCTGTGTTTGGTAGTAATAAGCATTGTGTATAATTTTCATGACATTTGGTTGAGGCAAAGTAAAGTTACAGTGTGAAAATGTCAAATTAAGCAATTTTTCTATTTATAAAAAAACATGACTACAGAACAGTGAAAGACACACCATCCAAATTTGAACTTGATCTGTGTTTAGTGGTAATAAGCTTTGTTTAAAAGTTTCATAACATTTGGTCTAGGCAAATTAAAGTTAGAGAACAGAAACCAATTTCGAGATGTACGGATGAACTGACGGACAAGGACAAAAATTACTGCCACCATAACCTAGCAGCTGAGGCATAAAAAAAATCCGAATTTATCTAATTTTTAAATCTTTCTTTAATATTCTTTTCCATTGTCTCTGCTGTTTATGCTCTCTTTTTTAAGGTCCTAAATATGCCACAGGATTTTAGGCAAACTACAATCAATCGATTCTTTACATTTCATTACTCCCTTTAATACTACTTGTATTTCTATTCATGACACAGGATGTTTACCTTAAAGTTGAGGAAACAATGGTTTGTGTTCACCAATTAAAATTTTATTTACTGTGGATTCATTTATTTACGTGGATACCAACTGTTGTGGATTGAGGAAAAAAAATGTATTTTTGTGCATATTTGATTCCACGGATTTGTCAAAGTTTTCATATAAAAATTGAATGCTTCTTATAGTAATTCTATAGGGTTGTAAAAGCGTTGACCGTGCGCACATTTTTAGAATGAAGCGCGGAAAATTTGCGCACGACCAACGCTTTTACAACCCTATAAAATTACTAAAAGAAGCATTCAATACTTATAATTACATTTTTTTGCTAGGATCATGAAAACACGATTTCTATCAGGTTTTTCTTTTATTTACCAGTGCACTTTATTGTGGAAGCTTGTGTCATCATGAATGTTACAATTCATTTGGAAATGAAGGTTAATTTCAGAATGACGCGAGATTGCTGTTAGCCAATCAAAATAACGTATTATAATGAAACATGCATGTAATGTAATTATATAAGCCTATAAAAAATGTGCTCTTCATTGAACATATAAATTTGTGGTTCACCTATCCCCATGAAATCCACGAAAATTGGTACCCCATGAATAATAATGAATCCACAGTCAAAGCAAGACAAAAAGGTCGTTACTAGCCTGTAGAATAAGATATTCATCTTTAACCCGTGTTAGAAAATTTCAATCATCCATCACATCCTATGGACAATTGGATGATTGAACATTTTCTGGTATATTTCATAGACATTCTGTACACCTTTACTTAAGTAATAAGGGCTACAAATATATGCCATTTAACAAAATTTGGACAAACTTCCACATCAAATAGTGGCACATAAAACTTAATGAAAATCTTTTCAATATGTTCATACTTATGCCAATTCATCATCAATATAAATAACAACCTACCTTCTTGGAAATGTTTGGCTAAATTTTGAACATCATTAACATGACAAAATTCTTGAATGTTTTGTCCGTTAAAATCTGGACAACTTTGAGATCCTGGTGCTATTCCACTGAAATAAAAAAAAGGGAGATAACACACTATTATTGTCTGTCCTAAAGGGAGATAACACACTATTATTGTCTGTCCTAAAGGAAGATAACACACTATTATTGTCTGTCCTGTCAATATCATATCAACTATCTCAAGAAATTCACTAAAACACCACACAGAATCTATTATACAGTGTTTTGTCTTTATTTAATTCGATGTTTCACTTTCAGCTTTGTTTGCCATTCAGATTTTATAATTCACAAACGATTCGGAAATTCCACGAAAGAGATTCACACAACAGTTCCAAATTGAATCTATTAACAAAAATGCAGCAATATGTTTATTTTAGAATGTAGTACTCCACATTTAACATCATCATTAGGTGCTGTTCCCTATGGTTCTGATTTACTAACATACTGACTAACACATTGCATTCATATCTGTGATCATTACTATGGAAACAAATTAATAAAACGTTGTCATGCAGATATTCTCCCATATATAGGCATCAATCCTCATATCGGAGGAAGAAAAATCCTAACTATAACACTGACATATGGACAACAAAAATGTGTAAATTTGAATTAAAAGCCAACCTAATTAAGGTGTTATCATCTCTATATGAGGAAGTAAATATGACTTTCGGTGATTTTCGTAATAATGGGGCTTTAAACTTTTAAGTTCAACAGTACTTGATTCCTATCCGATTTCTCAAATAAAATCTGGGAGGACTCAGCAGACCTGCCAACCTTCACAATTTATGGGGAATTTCCCATAGGAGAGGTGTTGACCTGAATTTTGAAATTCTATATTATATAAACTAAACACCTCAAAATAGGCATTCATATGAGTAGGAAGAGTATTTAAGCATATACATACTCATTCAAACAATATGGTAATAGATTAATAACACTTATGGCAATATAAGAGGAGCATAAGGTCCTCTTGCTCTTAAAATCTCCCATTGAGATTTTGAAAAGTTGGCAGGTATGTCCAACTGAGGAAAATTATTTTTGCTGTACATCAAATTTCCTTTAAAATAGATTGTATCAAATTAGCAAAGATAGATGCAAAATTAATTCAGAAGTTTCTATGACCATACCAGGTAACAATTCAAAATGTAATAAAATATATATCATTGAATCGTTAAGAAGATCTGTAACAAAATACATAAGATTTTCATATTATACAGTAAAATAAACTGTTGACACAGAGATATGTCTTGCATGTCTGCAAAAAATTTCTGCCACTGGAAAAGCAATTACCTATCTCTCACCTTCCGCGACTTCGTCCCAGGCGAGGCAAAAATCAAAACAAAATAAATGGGGAATGTGTCACCATGGACACTGATGATACCCCTGCTTGCATACAATTTTATAAAGGAATATAACTCAAGAACAGTAAAAGTGACCTTCAACAATGAGCAAAGCCCATACTGTATAGTCAGCTACAAAAGGTTGTTCTAGATTATATTGTTATCATACACTTATAAAACTTATCAGAAAATATATCGGAATTGTGACTTTGTGAAGCCCGTCCCAGGACTCTTTAAGAAGTTAAGAATCACTATCATCTTCAAAGTTGGGACATTTAAAATAACAATTGCATTATTTTCAAAAGCTAGATTTCAATAACACATTTCCTCAATAAACTTCATGTTTAAATAATGTAAAGCAATTTAAAAGCTATTGAACTTTCTTGACTTTTACAAAAAAAAAAAATTAAAATAAAAAAATAAATAATTAAACGTTATTTATATTTAACAAATTAAACATGATTTTTAGGTCATTGCTCCTATCTGAGATTGAATCCTTATAATCTGTTTATGGGTGCTAGTGCAAATCCATACTAAATACCAAAGATCTATAGCAAGAACTTCTCAAGTACACAATACTAAATACCAAAGATCTATAGTAAGAACTTTTTACCAAAGATCTATAGTAAGAACTTTTCAAGTACACAATACCAAATACCAAAAGATCTATAGTAAGAACTTTTCAAGTACACAATACAAATACCAAAGATCTATAGTAAGAACTTCTCAAGTACACAATACCAAATATCAAAAATCTATAGTAAGAACTTCTCAAGTGCACAATACCAAATATCAACGATCTATAGTAAGAACTTCTCAAGTTCACAATACCAAATATCAAAGACCTGTTGTAAGAACTTCTCAAGTACACAATACCAAATACCAAAGACCTGTTGTGAGAACTTCCCAAGTACACAATACCAAATACCAAAGATTTGTTGTGAGAACTTCCAAAGTACACAATACCAAATATCAAAGACCTGTTGTGAGGACTTCCCAAGTACACAATACCAAATATCAATGATTTGTTGTGAGAACTTCCAAAGTACACAATACCAAATATCAAAGACCTGTTGTGAGGACTTCCCAAGTAATAAATACCAAATATCAATGATTTGCTGTGAGAACTTCCAAAGTACACAATACCAAATATAAAAGACCTGTTGTGAGAACTTCCCTAGTACACTATACCAAATATCAATGAGCTGTTGTGAGAAAATATTTGCTGTGAGAACTTCCCAAGTACACAATACCAAATATATGAGAGTAAACATTTAGGTGTTGTTGATAACAATATAAAAATAATAAGATGTGGTATGATTGCCAATGAGACAACTCTCCACCAGAGACCAAATGATGTAAAAATTATTGTCTATAACAATATAAAAATAACCAAATGACGTAGAAGTTAACAACTGTAGGTCAAACTTAGTTTGAAAACTAAAATGTCACCTGCTGTGTTCACATTGTGAAAGCAAGAAAAAAACTGTGAAAATCTTTACATAAGTGTTGAGAATTACCAATGTATATAGTAACTAGAGGTTATAAAGAGCCTGTGTAGCTCACCTAGGTCTATTTGTGTCTTCAACAATAGACGTTTTTACTTGAAACCAAACAAGCTGTTTGACGTCAAACAAACAGCAACTTGTGTGGTTTTGACTATTGACGTCAAAAGGTTATTCGGAGACAGATCTACGGTCACAAAATTAAGCTAAATATCAAATATGTAAATACGCCTTTGAACACTCTCCAACATAGACTTAAAAATAGAATTCATGAAAAATTTGTTCTTTTTTATCCTGTATTGCTTATCATTTTTGTTTACAGTTTCTCTTAATTTTCTTTAGTTTTTGCCCAAATCGCAAAAAGGTAAAAAAAATCGTCATTTATTGGTGTCAATGCCACTTTAAACATTGTTGGCTATTTCTTTGCTGTCAGTTTACCACAACTTTCGTTAGGAAAACTGACCATCCTAATCAATTAAGATTGGGGTAGTACGCACCTGCCACGCATGGGATTTGTGTTGACAGGTGAGTGGTACAGTAGTTGGACTACTTAGATCACTCAGCCACCGAGGCCCCTGATCGTCATTTAAGGGCAATCACTCCTATAAAGAAAATCAAAGGATATGGGGTATCCATCTATGACACAAAATCAGTACACGCACAGCAAAAAGCAAAGGAACAGAGCTTTTAAAGATCCTACAGAGGATTTTCGGCAAAATTTAACTCATTTGTAGATCTTGTCTTGCTGATCAATTCTGCTATTTGAAGAGTCTATCCATCTGATATATTTTCAAAATAATTGGCAAAAACACTTAAAACTGGTAAAATTTGTCACTAAAGAGCAATAACTCCAGTAGGGAGTTGACTGAACATTTTGCCCATTTGACTTGTTTTTACATCTTGTCTTGCTGATCATTTTTGCTTGGGACAGTTTTTATCTATCTATTCTACTTTTGGAGATATAAGCCAAAAACTCAAAAAATTAATTAAAATTCTCATCATAGGGCAATGGGTCTAAGAAGGATTTGAATGACGATAACAACCATGTAGACCTACTTGTGTATATAGTCTTGCTGATCATTTTTGCTGTGTAAAGTCCTATCCATCTATTACAGTTTTCAATGTAATAGGCAAATATTAGTTTTAGTTTTTAAAGCAGTTTGCTCCATAAAAAAAAAATATACATATATAGCATTCAGAAAATTACTTTATACAGAATAACAAACAAGCCTACCACAAAATTCTTCAAAACATTTACCAAAAAAAAAAAGAAAAAAAAATCTCCAAAATACCATTAATACTATAATAATAATTAATATTAACCTATAAAACTTATCTGTAATTAATTTCAAAATGTATAATAATGAGCAGTAAATTTCAAACTATATTTATACCATCCTACAGAGCTTATCATCAACAACACTTAGGAAACACAAAATTTGCAAATAAATCTGTCACTCCAATTATAATTTTCTTAGTTGATAATTATTACCACATGTTTGTTATCTTGATAAAAGGTGGAAATTAGTGCATGAATAAAACAGATACAATCATTGATAGACTATCTATCCATATCCTTATTAATAACAACATTTCTGTTCAAAGGGAAATAACTCAAAATAAATAAATCATATAATAAGTATCACTTTTGCAACTGAAAGGTATACAACTCAACAACGAGAACAGCTAAAATCGTGAATATTGAACTCGACCTTCATTTAGTCACACGAAACAACATATCTAAATTTGAAAAGATTTCATCACAGTGGTTTCATGTTAATGAACGGACACGGTTTGGCAGCCACCCACCCGCCATACATCCCCAAACCAGTAACTGATTTTTCCTTTGAAAATCCGGTTAAAAATGATTTAAAATTCATCATTTAAGGGCAGTTTATAACTTCTATAAGAAGTTGTTTTTTTTATTTTATGTAAATGAACAGTAAGTAGAACTCATCATTCTTGAACATTTCTGCAACTGTCAGATTTCTTTATTTATAACGGTTTTCAACAAAATAGACAAAACTTGCATTTTACCCCTACGTTTTATTTTTTAAACATGTCGGCCATGTTGGTTGGCAGGCTGGGTCATCAAATAAATTTTGTAAACAAGATACCCTGATGATGAATGTGGCCAGGTTTGGATAAATTTGGCTCAGTTGTATCAGAGGAGAATATTTTTGTACAAGTTCAAGGATAACGATGAAGACAGACAATGGACGCAAAGTGATGAGAAAAGCTCACTTGACTTCAACTGGCCATTCAACAATAATGTACACTACTTCAGCAAAATGGACGCCATACTAAACTCCTAAACATACAAATGAACCAAAATTTAAATAAAAGAAGATTGTGTCTGAGGACACGAATGCCCCCAATCAAGCTTCAAACAATCGAAAATGGGATGGTAGGGACGGAAAGATTGAAGGACAGAAAGAAAGAAAGACAGAAGGACGGAAAGACAGAAGGAAGGATGGTGAAGGGTAACACTTAATGCTCCATCGCCTATGGTGGGGGCATAAAAACACACAAGACTAACAAAGGCTAGATGTTCCATACTTGGGACAGGCACAAAAATGTGGCAGGGTTAAACATGTTTTGTGAGATCTCAACCCTCCCCCTATACTCCTAGCCAATGTGGAATAAAGAAACACACAGCAATACCCAAACTAAAACTAAGTTTAAAAGAAGTCCGACTCTGATGTTAGAATAGGTAACAAAAGAAGCTAAGCAAAATGACAATGATCAACATAAATTAACAAAGGACTACTAGCAGTTACTGACAAGCCAGCTCCAGACCTCAATTAAACTGATTGAAAGATAATGTCTTCATCATACCCCCACTAGGGAAATTTGCTTGATTAAAGAGAATTTTTTCAATATTTGCAACAGACTGTTTCACATCACTTACTTATGCAAATATGTCTCCCTTGCATTACCTGGTAGGTATGTAATACTGCCATAGTATCGACAGTTTATGTCACTAGCTTATGCAGACTTATCTCCCTTTAATTGATGATTTGATAAAATCAGCCCTAATACAGTAATTCAGCATGTGCAATACTGATGGCAATGCAACATCAATAATAATACAGTGCCAATTTATATTCCCAGCTACTTTATATTTGCTATATAAAATGTATTGCATTAGCATACATTCTGTACTTGGATGAGAAATTAGAAATCTCATCAATATTGACAAACAATGCATTGAAAGTTCCAGTACCTGATTTGAGGTAACTTTCTTAATTTAATTTAAGAATTAGAATCATTTAATAAAAGTGTGATATTCTTGTTGATTCTGTATTGGCTCTGATATTGATTCTTGAGTCTCAGGGCCAATACAGAAACAGTCAGTTAATAACTTGGTGGTACTACAAATAGTTTTTGAATGTAAATATACATTGTCTATGAAGATTTGTCTCCCTTGACATACCTTGTATCAAATGCGAGTATTTTTCCATTAGTATCTTGTTTCGTAGTAAACTGTTCAATGCCCAGCATGGTATTAGTCTTCTCTGTTATAGAAAGTCGTCTAGCAATACACACTAGACAAGATTGTCCAACTGAAAATATATACATTGTTGGTCTTCAACAATAGTCAACAAGAATCATCTATATAAACTTAGGTAGGAGTGTATATAAGTTAGTAGTCTATTGAATTTTTAAGTATTTTTCAGGCAAATAAAAATTTAAGTCTATTCCTGTTTCACTGTGTCGTTGGGTTGCTGTCTCATTGACATATGATGCTGACTGGTAATTTCATTTGTACATTTAACTTAAATATTTTCTCTAAAATATAATTTTATTAAGTTTAATTGGAATATTTAAGTGTTAATGGTATATAATTTGCTGTTTTGCATGTTCTAATCAAACCTACATATGACTTCTCAGCACTCACAAAAGTAATTAGTTCCAGGACTCACAATAAAAAATCTATCAAAAACCCATTTTATGAAGTCAATCTAACATTTGGCAATGTGGCCTCATTTACTTAATGGGACAAAACAGATATAGGGTAACACGAAATTAACCTTAACCTTAAAAATAACCCTAGCCATAACTTATGCAAACACTAACCCTAAAGTACAGGGTCCCCAATTTTGAACCCATGTAACCTAAACCGTCACTAGCTTCAGAGAATTTTTCATCTGGCTGACCCAAACCTAACCTGAACACTTGCACTAGCCCCTAAAACCTAACCCTAAAGTACAGGGTCCCCTAAAGTAAATGAAGGCCTACTATTTTGAACCCATATAATTTACTATACCTGAACCTTCACTAGTTTCAGAGAAATCTAACCCTAAAGTACAGGATCCCCTAAAGTAAATGAAAGCCTACAATTTTTAACCAATATAATTACTATAAATGAACCTACACTAGTTTCAGATAGTTTTTTCACTAGGTTGTTGTAAGAAAGATAGCCCTAGCCCCTTAAACCTAACCCTAAACTGAAATCTAACCTAAAGTACATGGTCCCCTATAAAAGAAAATGAAGGCCTACAATTTTTAACCCATATACCGTAATTATAATACCTGAACCTTCATTAGTTTCAGAGATATCTAACCCTAAAGTACAGGGTCCCTTATATAAATGAAGGCCTACAATTTTTAACCCATATACCGTAATTATAATACCTGAACCTTCATTAGTTTCAAAGATATCTAACCCTAAAGTACAGGGTCCCTTAAAGTAAATGAAGGCCTACAATTTTTAACCCATATACCGTAATTATAATACCTGAACCTTCATTAGTTACAGAGATATCTAACCCTAAAGTACAAGGTCCCTTAAAGTAAATGAAGGCCTACAATTTTTAACCCATATACCGTAATTATAATACCTGAACCTTCATTAGTTTCAAAGATATCTAACCCTAAAGTACAGGGTCCCTCTGACCCTTAAGTACAGGGTCCCTTAAAGTAAATGAAGGCCTACAATTTTTAACCCATATACCGGTAATTATAATACCTGAACCTTCATTAGTTACAGAGATATCTAACCCTAAAGTACAAGGTCCCTTAAAGTAAATGAAGGCCTACAATTTTTAACCCATATACCGGTAATTATAATACCTGAACCTTCATTAGTTTCAAAGATATCTAACCCTAAAGTACAGGGTCCCCTAAAGTAAATGAAGGCCTACAATTTTTAACCCATATACCGTAATTATAATACCTGAACCTTCATTAGTTTCAAAGATATCTAACCCTAAAGTACAGGGTCCCTTAAAGTAAATGAAGGCCTACAATTTTTAACCCATATACCGTAATTATAATACCTGAACCTTCATTAGTTTCAAAGATATCTAACCCTAAAGTACAGGGTCCCATAAAGTAAATGAAGGCCTACAATTTTTAACCCATATACCGTAATTATAATACCTGAACCTTCATTAGTTTCAAAGATATCTAACCCTAAAGTACAGGGTCCCCTAAAGTAAATGAAGGCCTACAATTTTTAACCCATATACCGGTAATTATAATACCTGAAACTTCATTAGTTTCAGAGATATATAACCCTTGAGTACAGTATCCCTTTAAAGTAAATGAAGGCCTACAATTTTGAACCCATATACCGGTAAACTTCATAAGTTTCAGAGATATATAACCCTTAAGTACAGGGTCCCCTAAAGTAAATGAAGCCCTACTATTTTGAACCCATATAATCACTATACCTGAACCTTCACTAGTTTCAGAGAATTTTTCACCAGGCTGTTGTAAGGCAGATATTTGCATGTTCTCATATTGGGATACATATGTTTGTTTAACTTCGACATCATCAATTTCTTCACCTGCAAAGATTACATTTAATGCTATTTAATAACTATTTCATAATCGCTAGCCTAAAAATACTTCTGAAAATAAAATAGCTGGCTGTCATGCTTTTTAGATACTTCTGGGACTCACAAACAAAGAGCACATGCAAGTATCAACTTTATAATTAACCGCAATGTTTGCCTATAGGAACAACACTTTTCATATAAATAGTTTTGTGGTACTTGTATGAACTCAACATTTTCAATTATGTGTCAGAATCAGCACATTTTGTACAAAAAATTAGAACTTTTCTATCTTTCAACCATCAAATCTTATTACATAATCATAATACTTCAAAGATTTTATAGTTTAAACTTTACACATACTTAGCAATCATGTTAAAGCCAAAATCACCTGATTTTGCAATACTTCATTTTCGGAGGCAATAAATGGCCCTTAGCAAACGTCCTCCTTTGAATGTATATCAAAACCTCTCCTAAATTTATGACAGAAATTACAGTTCTCGAAATCTTTTTTCACCTGGTGGTCCTTGAAGAAAATATGCTGGTCCTCACTATTTTTTCTATTGCAAAATACCAAGATTTGTGTCGGTCCTTTGAAAATTTTGGTGGTCAAAACCTTCGGACCACCACTTTTTGAGAACTCTGAAAAGCTGATGTAATTTGCACCATTTTGTTGGAATTGGCATTATTTACAAGAACAGTTGCATTATTGATAGGAATTACTTCAAAGTTTGTCAACATGGCTATAACATGGAAAAATAACCCATACTTACATGGTGGTTTTACAAGCATACGACAATTAAAAGTTCTTCCTTTAGCAACAGTGTCGTTTGGCCAAGAAATTACACTTCCTGCAAGAGAAAACAAAGATAAGTTGCAGTGTTTCAACAAAAACCTCACATCAAAGAGAAGGAAAAATTTAAAAACTAAATAATGTACAAATTGTCCCCAAAATATTTCTCATTGTAAAGTTAATGATACCATATAATACAGGATTATGCTTTTAACATATCTACATCAGTATTCATTAGTGAACTATCAGATATCTGTTGACGACTGGAAAAAAAAATTGGTAACTGCATCTGGCAAGCAAATAAGAAAAAAATTGTATAAATCTAGATAATATTGTTTCTGCCTAACTAAAATTATTAAGCAAAGACATCACATCCAAACATAATTTCCTAGAGTTATTGCTCTTAGTTGATTATTACATTAGTTTTTACATCACCTCTTATTTGCATTTCTATTATGAGAATGCATGTAAGTGGGACCCAAAAGTTCATATGCATAAGAAAAGTAAGTGCAATAACACACCACTGTTTATGTGCATATTGTCATTAAGTGAGAGGGGACATTTAGTGGAACAATCTATCAATGGTCCACTTTGCCCTCCCGTGTGGAGTGGACATGCCATTTGTTTCTTTAAACATAGGAATTGAATTTACAATATCTTGTAAAAGCGAGTTAAACATTTGTACATATATTTGCAAAGACTGTTTAAAGGTTTAATTTGAGTGGGGAGGAGTGTAGTTACCAACTGTGAGCTGTGGAAATGTCAAAATCAACATTATCAGTAGTGTAGATATGTCAAGTTGATGATATGTTCTGTACTTACCAAATGACATAGGCAGAAGGCTGCCACTGAATTGTGCATGGTCTCCGACATGGATAATATTATATATACTCTTGCCAACAAGGTCATCCTGAAGTTAGAAATTATGGTGAAAAATGCAAATTACAATAAAAGCAGTAAAATCTAAAAACTTTAAGGACTGAATATTTGTTTGGTTTAGTCATAGATATAAGAAGATGTGGTATGAGTGTCAATGAGACAACTCTCAATCCAAGTCAAAATTTGTACAAGTAAACCATTATATGTCAAAGTACAGTCTTCATACATTGTTTTTGACAAGATTCACAGTATGATTTACTATCAAATGATTGGCCTGCATACAAAAATTAGATTCCAGAGGTTTCTTAAAAAATACCATCCTGTACAAAATATTTTCTATGCAACAAATGTTAACATGAACAATCAGGCTGACTTCACTTCAACCAGAAGATTATGTGAATGCTATAAATTTAAATATCTGGTTTAAGTTTAAATTCTCAATTCATGGTTTGATTCTATCCATACTAAGCACATTCATGAACTGTCAAATTGCAGGATCTAGTTGGGTTCATGTTGCTCAGTCTTCTATGTAGCGTTTTTCAGACGGTTAATAGGGTATTTTTCATTTTTTGCCATGTTGTTGATTAATTTTTCTTCCTATTCTATGATAGACCTTATATTTTGAAATAGCTGTTGCATTTAGATATTTGATATTTTTTCTCATTGGCTAAGAAATTTACAAGAAACCCTTTTTACTTTTATTTCCGATAAAGAATGACCAAAATAAAATTTCAGAATATCTCTATATTTAAGTACAGCAATGTGGGTATATGCTTATATACATGGGTGTTTTCAAGGTATATTCTTATAAAACCTGGATGTATTTAAGGCATACGGCTATATATTACCCGGGTGTATTTAAGACACACAACTATACATTACCTGGGTGTATTTAAGGTATTGATCAACATTTTCTGATACAAATTCAACTTTGCCTTGACCATTTACAACAAACAAAAATCCATCCAAAGCCTGAAAGATACAAATATTCTATTTATAGTAACAAGTAGCATATCTATTTATTTCTTTTTGTTGTTTGACAGTTCTAAAATTTTATGCTTTTCTGATGTGTTTGTACTTATGACCACTTATAAATTTCATTTTTGTCATTTGAAAGTCATTGATTATTACAAATTGAGTGTCAAACGCATCACGAATCACAAATACTAACAGTTGGTCTGAAATTTTCATAACACATCTGTACAGGGGTCATGTCTTTTAAGATTTGTATTTTTAAAGCAGTAGTAGAGTATCACACATCTTTATAATTTCCATGATCAAATTTGTCGGCAGCTTTGGTCTATTTGTAATCACAAACACATATAAGTTTGGACAACAGGACTAGATTTTTTTAAATTGACCAGGATTACCAGCTTTCCTAACCAAGGTCGGTGGTAGGCTTCCTCTCATTATCACAAATAAAAAGAAAACTAAGAAGTATTAATCCTTGAGCCAACCCTGCATTAACTGACCAATCACGAGTTGGTGCGGATACTAAATTTAGGGAAAAAGGGGGTGGGCTCTGGCAAGCAAATATTGGGAGTGATAATTGTAAAATGTCTATGCAATTATCATATATGAAGTTCCAGAAAGGGGGGGGGGGGGGGGGGGTCCCCCCCTCCCTTTTCCAAATCCAAATTGGCCACTTGAAAGATTCATGTGGTTGTTCATCATGCTTGTTTTGTTGCAATACACATTCTTTTCAATTAACATTCATGTCAGCCCTTTACAGAAGGATAAACCTATGCAGAGTGAAGTGACAACATGATAAATTTTTGCATCCCAATGATTGAGAATCTACTTTCAGTTGCCTTTATGTCAAGGAAACAATGCTGCTACAGTTTAGAATTTCTTAAAATCTGGACAAAATGATCAAAAAGAATTAAAACAAAAGGCCCAATATTCAACATGTAATATGTATGCCAGCTTTTCAGTTTTAAATAATTATTGCTACATTTGGCAGTGTGCCCAATATAGTTTATTTACAAAGTTAAAGTAAGGACATGTGGTAATTGATTGTCAACAAAACAAGTGATGTTTATATCATTTGTTCTTTATCATAGTTTTTTTTCTATTTTCCTTAAATGTATTATTAACTCATGGATTATCAATTTTATTCTCTCCTTTTTGTTTAACTTCTATTGTATTTTTAATATCTTATAGATTTCCAATTTCGGTTTCATCTTAAAGTGTTGTTGGTGGTTTAATCACACACCAAGCTGACAGTTGAAAGACCTTTTTTGTTATAAAGGGCATTCAATGCCCATTGGTTTAAAACTGAATTACAATAACCTTGTATTGCTTTTAAATACGTAAAATGTTTCAATTGTTTATCCAACATAAAAATGTTCTTCAGTCAATTCTAACGATTATACAGAAACTCAATAATTTACCGATTTTGATGTTTAAACTTTTGAAAAGGATAGAATTTAATCAGGAGTAAACAATGATTGACAGAGATATAAAGTTATGTCAAATATGGCTGTAGTCTGCTAGCCGTATCCTTGATTCTCATTTGATTTCGTCTCTTTTCTAATGTATTAGGTTATTTTTTTACTGACAACAATCATCAAGAACCAGAAATGTTTGTGAATTGTCTGATTTGAAAATTTTATGGTTGTTAGTTTTATTAGTCAAAGGAAACTGGACTTCAGATCTTTGAGTAGTAACTGACAAATTATATCACAAACTGTTAAATCAAAATGACTTTGAAGCAAGTCTCCAGCAAGACTCTTTCCTACCAAAAATAGATTGCCAATGGGAAACTAATTGGATTTTTACACATGCTTTTATATCAACACAAGAATTTCAAGGACATTTCCAGGCATTTAACAATCAAAATAAAATTCAAAGGTTTTTTCTGTTTTCAAGGTAGAGTGGGAACTCTATACTAAGCTTTCAATTCAAATTAGAATGACTTCATGGTCAACATTCATGTTCATGGTCAATATTCATGTTCATGGTCAACATTCATGCTCATGGACAAGCAGATCATTTCTGTCTTTATACACTTATGAAAAAATCTTTACTTGATGTTATAATACATGTACTTTAGATGTTACAAAGCTACACAATTTAATAAGATGCACTAAATGTCCAGCAGCAAATATTACATGCATATTAGGATAACAAATACCATTTTTGGTTTGACCTGGCTCACTAAGGTTCAAACCCATGACCTCCTGCACTTGAGACCACTAGGTGGCTCTAATGTGTTTAAATTCTTTTTCTTTATTATTTCTAACAGAAATGGTCACAGAACATGGTTTAGCCAATACTGAAGGTTTATGTACATTACCTCTAACAGAAGTGGTCCCAGAACATCGTTAGCCAATACTGAAGGTTTATGTACATTACCTCTAACAGAAGTGGTCCCAGAACATCGTTAGCCAATACTGAAGGTTTATGTACATTACCTCTAACAGAAGTGGTCCCAGAACATCGTTAGCCAATACTGAAGGTTTATGTACATTACCTCTAACAGAAGTGGTCCCAGAACATCGTTAGCCAATACTGAAGGTTTGCTTGATGAGACTTGACTTTGTTGAACGGCTTCTGAGCTCCCAGTCTCTGCAAATAAAAGTATAGATTGTCATTTTATATTGATACAATTTTATAAGAAGAAATGGGTAATCTTTCATTGAGACATTGATCAGATATACTGTAGATTCATTATAATTCGTGGGATACCAATTTTTGTGTATTTTGTGGGTAAATGTGAACCACGAATTTAAATATGCAACAAAGAACAAATTTTCTTTAAGCTTGTATGCAGAAATTTATCAAAACTAAGAAATCAAATATACATGAAATTGCAATATTCCCTCAATCCATGAAAATAAATGAATCCACAGTATTTCATTTGAAAATCAAATTTTCCTTCATGTTAAAACAACATTGGATATGTGTGTCATGCTAAGAATACCCTGAAAAATAAAAATTATCGTCTAACAGGAAGAAGATGTCTGATAGATCAGAAAAGTGCTCAAAGGTTACAACTCATCTCTATTAAGCTGCTGTCCTAATACGAAGTCAGTTCAGTAGTGAAATATGTGACAAAAATTACTTTTTGGAAGAAGAAGGGACAAGAGAACAGACAGGCAGACAGACAGATTAGCAATATAAACCCCACTCATCCTAGGATAGGGTAAATGACCTACATATTAACAAAATTTAACAAAACAATTGTCTGGTATCCGGAGACTTTAGTTGACCTGTTTTGTTTCCAACAACTCCGTAATAGGTAAATTGTCAAGCCATGCTTAGATTTTCTTGTCCAGCAATTAAGGATTGCCATATGATTTTTTATGATCTGATTGTTAAAATTGCTTTCTTTGTAAAAATAAAGAAATCTGGGGTATATATCAATGAGGCATCAATCTAACATCACAAATAATCAAAAGGTGTCTTGTTGTTTTTTTCTCTTTAATTAAATAAGTTCCTCACTAGGATGACTTCCTGTGACAGTTGTCAGTACTGTAAGGTTTATGTTAAATATCACTAGGATGACAGTTGTCAGTACTATCAGGTTTATGTTAAATGTCACTGGGATGACTTCCTGTGACAGTTGTCATTACACTATCAGGTTTATGTTAAATGTCACTAGGACGACTTCCTGTGACAGTTGTCAGTAATATCAGGTTTATGTTAGATGTCACTAGGATAACTTCCTGTGACAGTTGTCAGTAATATCAGGTTTATGTTAAATGTCACTAGGATGACTTCCTGTGACAGTTGTCAGTACTGTCAGGTTTATGTTAAATGTCACTAGGATGACTTCCTGTGACAGTTGTCAGTACTATCAGGTTTATGTTAGATGTCACTAGGATGACTTCCTGTGACAGTTGTCAGTACTATCAGGTTTATGTTAAATGTCACCAGGATGACTTCCTGTGACAGTTGTCAGTACTATCAGGTTTATGCTAAATGTCACTAGGATGACTTCCTGTGACAGTTGTCAGTACTATCAGGTTTATGCTAAATGTCACTAGGATGACTTCCTGTGACAGTTGTCAGTACTATAAGGTTTATGATAAATGAACTAATAACACAATCAAAAGTTCTGGAAATCTTTCCCTGGTGATCCTTGAAGAAAATCTGCTGGTCCTCAGACTCCTCTCTATTATTTCTATTGCAAAGTTGTATTTGTCCTTTGCCAAATTTTGGAGGTCAAAACCTTGGGACGACCACTTTTTGAGAACTGTGTGTCTACTGCAGCCATTGTGACCTGATAGACCCCCAAAATCCCATTTCCCTTTTTATAAAAGCCCCAAAACCCCCTTTGCATAATATTACGTTACGTAAACATCCAACAAATTATCAATCAAACCAAATTTAACGAACTCTGATTGACGATTTAAGAACACTTTTAAAGTCATATACGCAAAATTACCAGCTAAAAAAATGTGACATTTCTGTAATTTTAAGTTCATAAAATATTTAATATCATGTGATTAAATGCATTTATTTAATACTATCTTCAATAAAACCTGTCACATGAAACTCTCAGTGCACAGTTTACACAGGCTTGCCGTGAGGGGAAGACGTAATTAGCTATTCCATATATACATGAATCTAATGTCATCAGATCTGTATAACGACACACCTTCTTTCTGATATTTGACGAGGACTTTAATGACTGCGATGTGCCTGAATTATATAATTCTAAATGAAAGGTTTCAGCCTAACAGGAATAATTGATTTTTCCATAGATTCCATGTAAACTTTCAACAGATAACGGAAGCTTCCATGGGAACAGATTATTCTATTTCAAAGCATTTAGCCACAATCTTCTATAAAATTTAATGCTGACTAAACCTTTTTTTTTATATTTAAAATTGGCAGTCGGTTTGAATTCAATTATTGTCCTTGCTTTAGAGGAATCATTATTGTTAAATAAAATTTTGATTTGTTGACTAAGTAATGAATTTCTTATGGATTGGATGTTTGTAGCAAGCAGTTGCTAGGCAACAGTTTGTGATTTACAATATTAAAGAAAATAAAAATTAACGAATTTCTTTATATGGTCATATTAACAACTGAAGTTTCAGCATGCATTTATATTTGTTGAAACTCTTTAGCTTGACACATAATTAGTGTGATGGACTTGGAATTGGGAATTCTTCATATACTCAGGCCTTGTTTTGTAACAAAATTATGGTTTGTACGATGTGATGCAACATCTCATATAACATATAATCATAGAATCAAAGTACTGAAGTACTGTTTGCTGGGATGGCCAATCAATCTGGAAGCTGGCGAATAAATCATACAACATTCCATTGTTGTGTTCACTGCTTATTTAATAGTGTTTAATGTTTATCTGTTGATGTTTACAGCTTATTTGTTGGTGTTTATGGTGTCTTCAATGGTGTTTAATGTTTATCTACTGTGTGTTTAAGGTTTATATGTGGGTATTTAGTGTTAACAGGTTGGTGTTTATGGCTTATCTAATCATGTTTCATGTTTATCTGTTGATGTTAATTAATGCTTGTTTGTTGGTATTCAAAGTTTTTCTGTTGGTGTTTAATGTTTTTCTGTTGGTGTTTAATGTTTTTCTGTTAGTGTTTAATGTTTTTCTGTTAGTGTTTAATGTTTTTCTGTTAGTGTTTAATGTTTTCCTGTTGATGTTTAATGTTTTTTTCAGTTGGAAATAAATGTTTTTTCTGTAGATTTTTAATGTATATCTATATTCAATAATTTATCTCTTCTTGTTTTTTGCTGGTTTAATGGTTACCAACAGATAATTGTTGGTGTTTTAACCTTTAGCTGTTGTTGTTTAAACATTATCTGTAAGTTTTTTTAATTTATTTGTTGGTGTTTAATATTAAGAGTAATCTATACCTGTTAAAGAATACAGCTGAAACCTATAATATGGGCTGTCTTGATCTAGATATGAGGTGAGCTTTTGCTCCCTGGTGAAAGCCTTAATGCAACTTAGATGAAGAACACCAATAAAAGTGTTGTTCCTTATATTTTAGTTTTGTCCTGTGTATATACCATTTTAGTTTAGTCATGTGTGTATAGGATTTTAGTTTTGTCATATGTGAATAGGATTTTACTTCATGAATAAATACACCATATCCCTTCCTTTCCATATCATTTACAATTTGAGATTCATGGCACCAAGTCATATTTATCAAGCCATTGTCCAACATCAAGCAAGGCAAAAATAAGTTTACTTAGCTAAGGTTTCCTAATGAAGAAAAATATGATATGAAGGTACGATTTGTTATTTTTGCTGACTTTTATACCTTGAGGTTTTGGGGAGACTTACAACTTGCTTAATAATTAACTACTTGAAGTGCCAACAAAATCTCTTGGATAGGCATTTTAAGGCATGCATTAAAGGGCAATGGAAGGGAATCCTGAAACAGCTTTTTTTTATTTTGGCCTCATAATAGATTGCAATTTGCAACCATAACATAACTAAATATGCATTGTTAAACTGTTAAATCTATGGTCCTTCCCCGGGGGGGGGGGGGTTACTGACTATCCTTTCGGGTATAACTGTGCCAACAGCACTTGCCAAATCATACCCTGTTCTAACCAGAAAACATTGAAAAACATACCCTGTTCTAAACAGAAATATTGAAAAAACATACCCTGTTCTAGACAAGCTCAGAAAATGTATACCCTATTCTAGACACACTCAGAAAATGTAAACCTTGTTATAAGCGATCCTGTTCTAGACAAATACTTTGTTTAAAAAAAGACCCTGTTCTCACCAGCAGGGCATGAAAAAGAGACCCTGTTTTGCGGTACATTCGTACCACTAAAAATATAGGAATTAACCCCCTGGGGGTCCTTCATCACGTGATATTTATATTTTTGGCATTACACAAGGTCAAACTTTTCTCAGACTTATAATGACATCTTTACACTAAATCCCATGGATGTGTACAGATTAATATTTGAGTCTGGGCAAACATGGTTTATCTATCTATTAATTGAAATTGGCTCTAAACTAGCTTCCAGTAACTGAAGTACTCTTAGATTAGTAAAAAGTGTCTTTTGATTTTGTTCTTGGTGCTGATCTGATACCAACCTTTTCCCAATAATTTTAACTGTTAGTTCTTATGTTGTGCTGTTTCACCACTTTCCAAAAATAGTGGAGGTTAAAACCAGATGCATGTAATTCAGTAGTTTTTAGCTGCTGTCTGTCAATTTGTTTTTCGTTTATTGTTTTTAGCATAAATTATGCATTTGGTTATCTCTTTTGAGTTGTTTCACATTTTGCCATGCCAGGACCATTTATAGTTTACTATTCAGTACATGTTTTGATCATTGTTGATGGCAATAAAGTGACCTATAGTTGTTTATATACTCATTGGTTGGTATCGGGTCGATAGCAATGTCTCATTGTCATTCACACCACATCTCCTTCTTATTCTTATAACAAATTTTAAAAATTTGAACCAATAAAAATAAAAAAGTAATTCAATTTCAATTTTGATAGATAAATTTCGATATGACATAATTTGGTCTGAGTTATTTTCCTTGGCTGCCATGTTAGCGGTGTAACAGTTTGATTTTCTTACTTGACTAACCAAATTCAAACATGTCATACAAGCAAGTGTGAGAAGATATCCATACTAGATCGTTGTGATGAATTATACAAGGCTTCAAGAAATCAAAATTGTTCAGACAACTTTTTCTAGTCTAGCAATCAGGGTAAAATGTTGAATTTGTCTGATTAATGAAGGAATTTGTGAACGTTGACCTCCAATAATGTGACAGAAGGGAAACAACTCTGGCTAAAATTGTGTCAAAAGAAAACAATCTATACTCTATGACTGTTACTTGAGACTCTGCTTGTTCAGTAATATCGATCTGACTATAAAACATATTAATTTTTCTTATATCAACAGTTCATCAACCTTTCAGTTTCATTTCTTATCTTACGAAACATCATTTTTATATATATCTATATTTCACTAGTATTGATTTCAAAAGATATCTTAACCAGATTCGGAAAATAACAGAGACAGGCAATGATGATGGAGAATCAAAGCATGTCCTTTAAACTAATACAATATAATATTCTTTCTCTAATTCTTCGTCAATTTATCCCTTTCTGCACCCATTGTATAAAAAAAAATTTAATCAACGTGTGGTTCGTTTGATCTCAGTTCATCATTGGTTAAAAACCGATTATGACGTCGAATTTTCTTGCTTTCCTCTGAATTTCCTATTGTGACGGCATGAAAAAAGGCGACCATGTCTGATGACGTCACATAGAAAGAACACATCTTTTTGCAGATCATTCAAAAAGAAGGAATAACTTTGCCTGCATATTGTTAGAAAATCATTAGAGAAACAGATTCCACAACCAAATCTCGTGTAATACGATATTTATCCACTCTCTACAGTTAAATATTAAATATTTAAAATGCTCGGCGAGCCTCGCGTTTTAAATTTGAAAATTTAACTGTCTCGAGTGGTTAAATATTGTATTACACTCGATGCAGTGGTAGAATCTATATTTATCACTGTAAATTCATAATTGTTTGCGAAGAAAATCATGAAAGGATAGCTTTTGTAAAAAATAATAAAATGCTCCGCAGGGCGCAGCTTGATACGACCGCAGAGGTCGAACCCTGAACAGTTGGGACAAGTATGGACACAACATTCAAGCTTGATACAGCTCTGAATTTGGATTGTGATTAAATATTTGACACAGCATAGGTTTCTGACACAGAATGAATGTGGTCTAAGAACTTTAAAATTTTAAATTGGACATTCACCTATTATGGTCCAATATCCAAAATCTAAATACATGGTTAGATTCAGCATATCAAAGAACCTCAAGAATTCAATTTTTGATGAAATCAAACAAAGTTTAATTTTGGACCCTTTTGACCTCAATGTGGACAAAGTTGATAACGGGGCCCAAAAATCTAAATACATGGTTAGATTCAGCATATCAAAGAACCCCATATATTCAATTTTTGTTGAAATCAAACAAAGTTTAATTTTGGACCCCGATTTGGACCAACTTGAAAACTGGGCCCATAATCAAAAATCTAAATACATGTTTAGATTCAGCATATCAAAGAACACTAAAAATTCAATTTTTGTTAAAATCAAACTAATTTTAATTTTGGACCCTTTGGACCTTAATGTAGACCAATTTGAAAACGGAACCAAAAATTAAGAATCTAAATACACGGTTAGATTCGGCATATCAAAAAACCCAATAATTCAATTTTTGATGAAATCAAACAAAGTTAAATTTTGGACCCTTTGGACCTCAATGTGGACCAATTTAAAAACGGGGCCCAAAATCCAAAAACTTAATACATGGTTATACTCAGCATATTAAAGAACCCCAAAAATTCAAGAATAAAACCCCATTGAAATTGATCAAGAAATAAGCAATTTATAAGAAGTATCTTCTTTAGCACAATACTGTGCAATTGAATATTTCTTGCTATTGCGCAATACTGTACAATTGACAATTTCTTGCTATTGCGCAATATTGTGCTATTGGATATTTCTTGCTATTGCGCAATACTGTGCAATTGAAGATTTCTTGCTATTGCGCAATACTGTGCAATTGAAGATTTCTTGCTATTGTGCAATACTGTGCAATTGAAAATTTACACATCCTGTTTTGAGTGTATCTCCTACCATATCATTATTATTTGTTTTTAAATATAAATCAGAAATAACCAACTTAAAATGGAAAATTTTAAAAGAAAAAAAAAAGGAAAAAAAGAAAAAAAAAGAAAAAAAAACCCCCCCCCCCCCCCAAATTTTTTGAACCCCCTTATGATTCATCAACCCCAAACTCAATCCCAGCCTTCCCTTTGTGGTATGGTACCTTGCAGTACAATTTCAGAGAGATCCATACACTTGAACACAAGTTATTGTCTTGAAACTAGAAAAATGCTTATTTTTGGCCCCTTTTTGGCCCCCAATTCCTAAACGTTTCAGGCAATTACCCCTGAACTCAATTCCAGCTTTCCCTTTGTGATATGAAACCTTGTAGTACAATTTCAGAAATATCCAAACACTTACACACAAGTTATTGTCATGAAACTAGAAAAATGCTTGTTTTTTGCCCCTTTTTTGGCCCCTAATTCCTAAAATTTTGAGGCAATTACCCCCAAAATCAATTACAGCCTTCCCTTTGTGATATGGAACCTTGTGGTACAATGTCAGAGAGATCTATTCACTTACACACAAGTTATTGTCTGAAAGTTACAAAAATGCTTATTTTTGGCCCCTTTTTGGCCCCTAATTCCTTAACTGTTGGTACCATAACCCCCAAAATCAATCCCAACCTTCCTTTCGTGGTATTGAACCTTATGGTAAAATTTCATGGAGATCCATTCACTTACACTAAAGTTAGAGTGCGAAAACCAATGTGTCTTCGGACGACGCCGGACGACGCCAGACGACGACGCCGCCGGACGACGACGACGCCAACGTCATACCAATATACGACCAAAAAATTTTTAATTTTTGCGGTCGTATAAAAACTGGCATTTTAAAATTTGTATGCGGCATTTCCTGAAATATATCAAATATATCAAAATATATCAAATATATCAAAATATATCAAATATATCAAATATATCAAAATATATCAAATATATCAAATGTATCAAAATATATCAAAAATTAATCTCACACATTAGTCAGGTTTGTCAATTGTTCATCAATCGCAAGAATAATTGAATGCACAAATTTTTGAATTTCCATTGTTTTTTTAAATTTTGTATTTGCATGTGCTTTGGTAACCTATAATATAATTGTTTAAACAATCAGAACCAATTTTTTGGCATGTTCTTGTAAGAACAATTTATTCTGTTCCCCGATTGCAACAAAAAAGGGGGGGGTTGAGATTTCAGTCCCACCACATATTCATGAGTCTGTCCAAAAGTCATGAACTTCTTCAGTAGTTGTCTTAGTCAGGAGCCTGTAGTTCAGTCTTGTTGTTGGTTCATGTCTGTCACATTTGTTTTTTCTAAATTGTTTTGTTATAAATTAGGCCAATAGTTTTCTCATTTGAATTGTTTCATATTTTTCATGTCAGGGCCTTTATAGCCGACTATACGGTATGGGTTTTTCTCATTGTTGAAGGCTGAACAGTTACCTATAATTGCTTACATCCACTTTATTTGAACTTTGATGGATAGTTGTCTCATTGGCAATCATACCTCATCTCCTTATTTTTATATTATGTCATATACATGTATAAGTGTTTTCCCGTTATTAGGATAATCATATGGTGATACCAGCAGATCTTTAATACTTTCTGGCTAATCTACTTTGGATTCAATTATTTTAAGCACCACATTTGGGCTATTTCGTGGCGGCCAGTTTATCTTGGTGGAGGAAGCCGGAGTGCCCGGAGAAAACCACCAACCTTCGATAGGAAAACTGACAATCCTGGTCAATTAAGATTAGAGTCAAGTGTACCCGCACGAGCCGGGTTTGAACTCACCACCTCAGTGTTGACTGGCTAGTGATTACAGAAGTAGAATTACTTAGACCACTTAGCCACAGAGGCAACAGCCAATTTAGAGCTCTGAAATGTGAAAAGTTTCATTCAAAATATTTCAACCTTAAACTTATGTCTGCAAAAGCCCCCTTTTTTTCTTTTGTATATCAGCCCCTTTCCCTGGCCTATATACTGGTACCTACCCTCTTTGATCTGTTTTATTTGGTTGAGGCTCTCCTGTAGTATTGCACACTTTTCCGGCTTCACCGAGAAGGAGCTCATGTCCGTGATACTTGCTGAGATTAACTCGGCAAGCTCTTCAAAATATGTATTCTCTTTGTCTCGTCTTCGTCTTTCATTGAGGCACTTGTTTCTGCAAAATAAAAATAAAACCTTGATACAATTGGTATTAAATCTTATTTTTTTAACTCAATTTTCTTGCTCTTAATAATGGTTCCATGTAATTGGGTTATAATACACCTCAGTAACCAGTACAAAAGATCAATACCTTATTTTGAAAATGTCAGCAGATTTCTAATATATTGGAAATCTTTTGATTATTAGAAATTATAATGGTGTTTGGGTCACATGCAATAATTGCATCTCTGTATATAATTAGATCTTTCTAATTCTGCAGTATCTTTCTTATTCTACAGTCCAAAACCAATTGATGAACAAAAACATCACATTTCTTGCATTTCAACAATTGTAAGTTTACTCAGTATTCACATCAAAACCACATAAAAATAGAACTTGTTTTACCCATTAGGCAGATATAAACTTCTAGATTGCACCTAACTTTTAAAGATGCTATCTTTTAATTTTATATACAAAAGTACATTCAAGTGGTATCTGGTTGAACTTTGTTACCAAATAGAAGGCTGTACAATTAAATGCATTCAAACTATATTAAACAATTAAAAGATTGTCCCAACAACTCATAAAGTAAAATTGTGACACAAATATCTTATTAAAAAGATTGAATTCTTAAAAAGTTGTGGAAGGGTTACCTGCCCCTTTTTCTTTACATGTTTAGACTCTGGCTTGGCTTAACTTAATGGCAATAGAAGGTCGGATAACTTTGTCATGGCAGTTGTAACTTTTTGGTCTTATGACTATAAGAATAAAGATGAGTTATGACTGCCAATGAGACAAATATTCTTGGGGAGTCAAAATAAAATAGATGTAAGCAACTATAATGTCACCTTCAACAATGAACAAATCCCATATTGTAGAGTCATCTATAAAAGGTCTCGATATGACAAAATGAAAAACAGTTCTAACAAGAAAACCAACATTTTGTCACGTTAGGGCCTTTTATAGCTGACTTGCTTTATAATAGTCTATGTGCATCATAAACTGTTCTGACACTGGCTCCAATACTGTAATTTCTAGAGATACTTTAAAGAAGACTTCAATATGACAAACAAGTTCACGGGGTGTCGGTGGGGATAAAATGTGTATTGATATGCCAACATCAGAACCAACTGTTTTCTTTTAACCTGTGACTATATATACAAGTTGGGAACAATCCAAGATTTGCCATCAGCTCCATAATGAATAATGGGAGTCCACATGCACACCAGTACATGTTAAAGCATTAATATTCCCAGTCATACAAACACTTCAATTGTATGATGACTACTAAATAAGCATTTCTTTATCAAATAAACTTGTCCTTGGATTACTATTTACAAACCATCCCAGGTAAAATTTATCGCTTTTTTCAAACGAGATTTTATTCTGTTTAAAATTTGATGACAAAATGTGTTTGCATTACAGTTTAATATAAAATACATGCAATATGCATTAGATAGGAACTAGGGATTTTTTTTCAGATCATTTTTAGCCGTTTGTCTCTTTCAAAGTTTAATGAAGTTCCATTTTAATTCTAAACTTTATGCATGTAAAAACACGAATAGACTTTTAATGCCAAAATTACATCAACTGTAATTTTTTTTAAAATGACAATTTCATTTATGCATGAATAAAACTACCAATACTTTCTATAATTTCAATAGCTGAAATTTAATGCTTCGTAAAATCTTTACAGTCATTGTGTACTTTTAAAGCATAGCCATCTGTTCGAATTACAAAATGTTTACATTAATAACTGCACAAAAAAAAATATTCAGATAGTTCTTTTAAAAAAAAAATGTGCTTTTTTACAAGAGTTTTGCTTTAGAACAGAGGTGTTTTGTTTTTCTATTATACCAAATTAGTTAACCTTGAAAGTTGTTGCTTTTAATATGTATGAACTGTCGAACAGGGTTGCTTGAAACACCTACTGTGGATTCCTTATTATTCGTGGCATACCAGTTTTCAAGGATTCCGTGGGTATAGGTGAACCACAATTCTAAATGTTTAACGAAGTAGAAATTTTCTATAGGCTTGTATATAGACTTTGGGGGAAACTATGAGATTAATTATCCACAGAAATATGTTTTCTTCTCAATCCACTAAAATTGGTATCCACGAAAATAAATGAATCCACTGTATTATTATTATTTTCAATTCAGTCAAACCTGTATATAAAGGACACCTTCAGGACCGAAAAAAAACTCAAGATCTTATAAGAGATTTGACCTTCAAATTCAGGTTCAAAATGCATAGATATTATTACAGTGTAACACTAGAAGGGAATAGGTTTTTTCGCTTAATAAAGGTACTGTTACAGCAGGTTTGACTGTATTATTTCTATAGTCATTTCGATGTTACAACAATAACCTACCACACAATTACATCATTTGTTTAAACATTTGATCTGGAATGACTTTGATAACAAGTATGTTTACAAATATGTATTTTCCTTTTTTATGTCCCAAAGGCTTAATGTAGTTCCTTCGTTTTACACTTCAATAAGTTTGTAACTATTTTACTTTTTGACAGTTTACTTAACTACCATGATGTCTAGCTACGAAGGTTAATTTTTAAATAAATCCAACATACATTGTCACTTATCTAGTTCCATATGTGCAAGGCCAATGACACGGATTAGTCAAGGAGTGAGCGAAAAGTTTATCAGGGGCTATGAGTATTCTAGGCTACTAATTTTGGACTGGGCCCCTAAATCAAAGCTTAAAATGTCCATAGATTTCAACTTACTCTTTCGTATTGGGGTACTTTGTTGGGCCCCTAGATTAGAAATGAAAGTCTTTTCCCCTGAGAGCTATGTTAGAAATCTAACCAGGGGAATAACAGACCCCTCAAGAAGTTTTGTTAGAAATCTAACATTGAGTCTTTCCCCTGAGAAGTTTTGTTAGAAATCTAACCCAAGTTTAGTGACCTGTATTACATCACAGCCAATTAACCAGGAAAAAATTCTTATACAACTACATTCTTTCTGTAACTTATTATAGCTACTTTGAATTAATCTTTTTCTAAGTATTTATGTGAACACTGAGACAGACTTTTAAGAGTGGCAGTAATTTACTAACTGGTTTTCACAGGTTTCTCACTTTAGCGTATACTTTTTGTTTAACCATGTACTGTGGATTCATTCATCGAGTGGATACAAATTTGGTGGATTGATGGAAAACTGTATCAGTGGCGTAGCCAATAGAAAATAAATTTTAAGCAAGGGGTCTAGTGAGTGGCAGCCCCCCCTGAAGCTGAACGATTATACATGTAGTAAAATTCTTGTTGAAAAAAAATGTTTTATAAAATTATTTGTAAGCAGTGATGCTTACAATTTTACACTGGTGCTACACCACTGTGTATTTTCTTGGTTTTTGCCAAAGTCTGCATGACCGACCATTAGATTTTTGTTCTTTGTTGAACTCTAAATTCATGGTTCACCTTAAGTAACCAACACGAAATGAACGAACATTGGTATCCAACGAATCTGACATAATCTGTAAACCAACTATCCAACCCTTTTTCAAATATAACGTCTTCTTCAACAATTTGACAGAACTCTTATATAATTGTGACTTTTTATCTACACTTTTTCTTAAATCATGCGAATTGGACTGTCTTTTTTTTAATATATCATATGCAGTACATGTATGAAACATTTGCCACTGGACATCATCAAGCAAATAACAATCAAACAACAGTCTGACAGAACGACCTTTGTCACTAAATCCTTAATAACAAATCTGATGTTATTGGTATATATATATATATATTACTTACCAACAAATAATGTATTTAAGTTTCTATTTCCATATATATACTGTTACAGCTGTTTTAATTGAAAGATGAAGTTACAAGTAAGCATGAGCAGCCCAACGTGGATATAAAAATAAATCCATACTGTTCACATATCATTCCACATAAAACGTGTTTCACTATCAAAACATGTGAATTGTATTTTTTAATCCATCAAAATTCTAATACAACCATTTGCCTTTAAACAACAAACAGAAATCCACACATGAAAGGAAAATAAACGACCGTAAACTTTTATGAAATACACATTGCACACTAATTAATCCAACAGAAAAATCCTACGTTTTTTCCCTATCCCACACTAAACGTTCAAAATCCACACCTCTATTTCCCAATCTTGAAAACAGCACACACCAGATTAAAATTCATTTGTTTACTACAGGGCTCTTCAATCTGATAAAAACCTGTCCAAGGACATCAAGCGATTACACAAATTTAAAACCATTAACATATTGGCTATTTAAAACTATACAAATGTAATACAATTGTTAAGGACTTTGTATTAGTGTGTCGATTCAAGGACAATTATATGTACAGAAGTAAATTATTTAGTGTCATGTTGTAAAAAATATTTACCTTTACAGTGAAATCAAAAGTACATGAAATTTTAACATACAGCATAGAGATAAGACAGTTAGAAGAGTGCATCAAGATTAAAAGATAATGGGGAAAATCTACAGCATGGAAAACACTTCATGGAATACGTGAGGGTCTAGATGGGTTCTACATTTCAGTATTTTTATTTTTTTGGGGTCATTTTTCTCTATTCGTTATGTTTTTTTCCCATTATTCTCTAATCTTTAAATATATTTACTCAAGCACCCAATATTCTCTTTTCTATATTTTTTGGGCCCTTTTTTGTGTAGATTTTGTCCATTATTCTCTATTCCATAATATCCCATCCAGACTCATACATACATGTACACTGAGTTTTAAAACACACTGGACATTTTTGATTTGTGTAAAATTGAACTTAATCATTTTAAGATTTATTCAACTGTGTAAACAAAGAATTATATATTCTATTAAAGTCTGAGTTGATTGAAAAATCTCAGAGACTGTTTGTCCAATGCACATCAATTCCATCTAAATTCTAAAGAGTTTCCATAAGTTAATTCTCAAATTTCCAAACATTTCATTCTTGTAACTGGAATCAAAATATCAAATGTATTTTGTATTTTAGAAGCTTGAAAAAAGACA